AAATTTTTACTAATTTTACTTTCCCTTCAAGTCACTTCATTTATTTAATTCAAACTTATCAAATATTATTCTGGGGTTGTTACATGGATGCTAAAATGCTAGTATCAGGTTAAACTCAACACAATTTGAACAAGATAGTTAACTCAAATGGTTGCTAGCCAATTAAGAGATGTAGATTTTCATAAAGACTTTTTTTTTTTTTTTTTTTTGTCTTTTTTCATGACTGGCAATGGATCGCAACCCTCAGTGTCGCGCCCGTACTGGGCCGGGACCAACAACGGGATTGCAACCCTCGGTGTTGCGCCCGCACCTCGCTCAGCCAGTGAGCGGCTGGTCTGTATGTGGGATCCGAACCCTCGGTGGGAGTGCCGCCGCACTCCCAAGCGGCCACTGTAGTAGTGCGCTATCGGGCTGGCCCCCATAAAGACTTTTTATCTAATAAATACTACTCACTAAGAAGCTTTTTGTGCCCAAAAAGAAAAGTTTCAGAAGATGAGGAAAAACTAAGGGCCCCGGAAATACAATAATTTGCCCAAAGGCACCTGTTTAAATGGATTCATGCTTAACTGGAGAGACACCCAATGGTACAGATTCCAGTTCTAACTCACAATTCACTAAAATCATGTCCTCATATAAAATAAAAGCTACAAGTAGAAAGTGTACAAAACTCTGGTCAAACAAAAATATATTAAAGAAATGTCCTGTTGTATTAATCAGTCTTTCCACTGTAATACTTCTGGGATTTTATTCAACTTTTATCTGCAGATATCACACTATATTGAAATTGTTTCATCTTTACTGTTGTTACGCCCACAAGATAAGGAACAGGTGAGCTCCTTGGGAATAGGGCTCACTTCATTTATTAAGCACCTGCATATAGTATGTACCAACACTAGCATAGCAGGTCCTCCCTCAACAGATGGCCATTTATCGGACAAAACTTGTATTTGATATACAGAATTTCTTCAGAGGTACATTTTACAGCACTATTAACAAATGAAATAAAGATTAGATCATTTAGACTAATTTGCATCGGCAGAAGTCACATTTGGTTTCTCCTAACAAATGCTTCCTCTTTAGGAAATTCCTCAAGCTCTTCAAACAGAAAATTTTAAAAGAATTTTAAAAACAAACATAAAAACCTTCCATTTGCAGGGCCATAAAAAATACGTAGGAAATTAAATCCATTGGTCTAGACAAACATCAGGAGTATCAACAGGGGATGTGTCTTCCTGCTCCGTAGCAGCTAGTGCACTTTGAAAATTGCAACACACCAGCCAAACAAGATTTACTATCTCTGAACCACACATTGCCATGTGACCCAGCTGACTTGCCCTAAGCAAGTTGATCAAGAATTACTATGGCAGGAATTCACACAGAAGAAAAATTAAAACAAACAGGAACTAGCATTAAACTTCTAATGGACAATAAAACTTCAGCGGGGTGGGGTGCGAGTGGAGGGATGAGGATATTTTCCAAGTCCCCTACACCTAAAACTAGCACAAGAAGCATGAGAAGAGCAGGTACTTAGTTCTCAATCACACAAGGATTGCTACAAGTTTTGTTTCTGCCCTGCTGAGTCCTTTCTTGTCTGGTGAAGGAAACAAATCCATTTTTCAATGCTAGGTGTTGCTTTATTTTTCTGAACCAGAAGGATAGTATCTTTTAACATCCTTTTGGAACACACATCAGCCTGTTTAAAATATGCCAAAGGACCTGCTTTTTTTTTTTAAAAAAAAAAAAAAAAAAAAAAAAAAAAATCCCTACCTGCTCTTTCTACAACTACTCAAGCCAGCTGGGACCAAGTAGAGTCAGGAGCTTGGGAAGGATCAATTAAGAGTCCCAGAGAGGAGCTAAAGTGAGGAGAGACCCATAAAAGACCTACCTGGAAACAATTCATCACCTCCTGAAGACACTTAAGAGAGGTCCAATGAATATTTACGTCTACCCAGGTGGAAAGACAGCAGTCTTCTCATCACTATGCTTTCTCCCTTGGGAAGGGAGACTGGAAGGGCTGGAAGTGACCTGAGCAGCCTTTTATAAGGGGCGGGGTTAAGGATTCCCACCCCAGCCTTTGCATACTGCCATTCAGCTTGGTTTGCATTAATAGCATGTGGTATGTTTATATCAATGGTTGCTTCCATCAGGTCCAATAAGGCAGAATCTCCATTGTCCCTTCAACACCGGGAAGGTGACATAATAAGAAAGGTAATGTTGACAATAACAACTAACACTCATTGAGTACTTGCCATGTACTAGGCCCTGTACCCAAGTAACTCACTCAATACAACAGTCCAATGACATAAGAATCACTATCATCCCCTTCTCACGGATAAGAAACGTTAAGACAGAGCAACTTGTTCAAAACACAAGGCTAGTATGGGTCAGAACCAAGATGTGAACCCAGGAAGTCTGACTTTAGAGCCCAAACTCTTCATCACTTGCTCAAGATGCAGTGTCCAAATAGTACATAGGGGCTGGCCAGTTACTTCAGCAGGTTAGAGTACCCTGTTGCTAACACCAGGGTCTAGGGTTCAGATCCCTGTACTGGCCAGCTGCCAAAAAAATATATACATATAGGAACATAAAACTTCCTACTTAGGAATTACTGGTTCCTCACATCATCTGGGTGATGATACTAAATATGGCACCTTTCTAGGTCTCCACATGAGATGTCACCTTTCCAGACACAGTACTGGCCTGCTCCTCTCATGTCCTCCCACAGTTTATCTCCCTGGCTGAGTTTCACTGCAAACAGGTTGTGACATTCTGCCCAGGTGTGCCAAGAAGCCCCAGGTGCACTGAGGGAAAACAAAAAACAAACAAACAAAAAACTGGAGGCTGGCTTCCTCTTGGGACATGCTAGCTCTCAAGTCTCCAGCCTGCTTCCATACAGAGAGGTGTCACCACACACAAGCTAGACAGGAACACCACCAAGAGCTGGGACCTTGCCTCACTACCCTGCAGGACTGAGGCTGCCCAGCAGGCACCAAAGTATTCAGGATGCTCAGGTTTCACAGTTGCCCTCAGGAACTGGTAACAGAGAAATTGAGAAGAAAGACATTACCTTTTCACTGCACCAGCAACGTTAATGGCACTCGGCAGCAAGACACAGGAAACCTGTCTCCTCGTGGAGAAAGAAAGGAAAACAGAGGAATTGGAAAGCCTCCAAGAGCAGATCTAAGACACCCTGCAGCAGTACCTGTGCAGCTATCACTCTGGGAAGCCCCAGCACATGGAGTGGCCATGTCCCACTGAAACCTGAAGCCAGCAGCAGTGGGTCTCAATTCCCCCCCCACCCCCCCAGCTGACACATGGCTCCGTAATTCTCCTTTGCCATGTGTTGATCTTGCAACAGAATGTGGGACAGAAGATCTAAAACATTATGTGATGGGGGAAGGGCAGCCAGATCACCTTACCCCAAAGCTTCTCAGTCAGGCCTCCTCAGATTCCCTTTAGGGGCCAGTATCACTAGCTTCCAGGGAGCTTTTCCCCAAACTGGCACTAAAAGAGCACGTGTTCCAGCTGGGGGTTGGTGGGAGGGGGGGCGCGGGAACTGGAGGGTGAAGGCAAAAGCACACACCCTCTTGCCCCTCACAGGGCAGCAATACCTTACTCGAAGCTGAGCTCCCCAAGGCTCTGACAAGTGGGGGTGCCTGCAGGATACACCCTGGGGACTCAAAGGCCGGAGGCTGTTCCTGCAGAAACTGAAAAGGAAGGGAAAGCAATGGGAGAAACCCAAATTAAAGTGACCCTCACGTCCTGGACCCACACCCCATCAGAGCCCAGCCATGTGCCCTCGCCGTGTCAATGCCCGCCAGCGTCGGGGGAGCCTACAGTGGATCAGGCAGGATAACTCTGAAGACCTCCTCCACGCACACAGCCGGCCCCACCCCTAGGGCCTGCAAATGTTACCGCCCTAGAACCTTGTCTCTTTCACAGATGGGGAAACTGAGGCATCCAGAACAAATTACCGTGCTTTCCCAAGCCAGATTGAAGTTCACTTCTCTAACCACAATTTTGCACTTCTTTACAGCTTTATTACAGTTCAAATTTCTTCAGGTACACCGACTGTTATTGCAAAGTGAACCTTAAATGCAATCGAAGGACTGAACTCAAAATGAGAGGAGGGCAGGCACGGGGTCCACCAAGGCTTTATTTACTGCAGGGAGAGGATGGGTGTCCTCCACCCCCACCTTATCTCCCACCTCCCTCCCCCGGGACGTCCGGGTTCGGACGCCCCCTCCTCCCAAGCCGCTTCCACCGCAACACGAGGGCGGGAGCATAGCGGCTCGGACGGGCGGGCTGCCGGGTCCCGGGGCTGAGAGGGGGTCGGGGGGCTCGGGTCCCCCTCCCCCGGCCGCTCGGGGGGCTGCGGGGGGCCGACCCGGCCCCGGGGCCGGGAACTTCTGGCGGCGCGGACCCTGCAGCCGCCTGGCGTCCCGG